AAAAAGGGCGAATTTTAATTTGGAACAAACCTAAATTTCGAAATGTGAAAGGAAGAATCAAATAAGTTTAATAAAAAAAGATATATTAATAAATATATATAAAATTCAATTAACATTGAAGAGCTAATTTTTTAAAAACCACCCGTGTGATTTTTACAAAACTTGGCAATTTTGTATAATTTGAGTCGTAGAATTGAAATATGAAAAAAAGTTTGCATGTCGTTTCAGAAAAAATCTGATTTTTGTGTCAAAATACCTGTATTACAACAATGCTATATATAAATCTAATACATATCCTTAGTCGTGCTTTCAAGACATAAAAAATGTAATTTGAATTTCGTCAATCGTCTCAGTAGAATAGGAGATATAAAACTGCCCCTTTTCTCTCTCTCTCTCCTCTTTTTTTTTTTTTTTTTTTTTTTTTTTTTTTTTCCATATTCTGTATAAGAAATATATTTTCCATATTCTGTATAAGTGTGCATATTCTGTATAAGAAAAAATATTTCATTTCTATATCGGTTATCAGATATTGAGTTAGCAAATAAATGGATGTGAAAAAGCGTCATATAAACAGATATATCAAAAAAGGAACATTCTCTGTGTTATCATGCTTAAAGCATATAAACAAAACATCATTGTTGCCACAAAAAATCTACATTATAATGAGTGTAGTAAATTATTGTGTATTAATTAAGTTCGTGCACGTTCCTGAACATCCTCCCACCTTGCAATTTTATGAAATTGCAACATATTCTGTACTCAGTTCATCATTTTCTAGTTCTGACTCGAAATCGAGTCAATGGCTAGGCGGCAATTAGTAGCCAACCACTACTTTAACCGTCTCTGTTGGTAAATTGCCCTAAGGCGTTGGTACTTAAGTTTTTAATTAAGGCGATTTATGCCGCGCCAACTAGGCGGAACTTGTCAAATTTTGTGAAATGTAGGTGGAGTGGAGGGAGATGATTGGCAGGAGCCTGTCAACGTGGGTGGTCACCAGCTTACGCGTACAATGAGAAATATTGAAATATTAATAATTATCAAGTTTTGAAACAGGTTATCTAGATTGGAATAATTAAACTAATATTGCGATCTAAATGAAGACAAATGGCACAACTAAGTGCAACAGATTAGCTAAACAAAATATTCAAATTCATCCTTTCTGTAAAACACAGATTGGACAGTGGTAGTCACGTGGGAGTCACCCTCCCGTGAACTGTCCACAGCCCAATGCATCTTGAAAAAATTAATTGTTACTGATATGAAACTTGTACTGTGAATAAAAGTGAACGAGTCTTCTTGACTCTACCTACATGCATCGCTGCCGGGATTCGAACCCGGGACCTTTGGATTAGAAGTCCAACGTGCTATAAGTTCCGACTCTTCAGAGTGAGGCTATTTATCCGACTCTTGTTTAAGCCAGTCCGGCTCCTCCCACCATCTGCTCTATAGTAACATTTTGGCATCGCACTGTAGAGGGAAGATCAGCTGGATTGCTTGAACTTTGTACATAATGCCAGTCATCTGAATTTGTGTATCTCCTTATTTCGGCTACACGGTTTGCCAAAAAAACACTCCTGTGGGAATCCTTTTTTTATCTAAGTCAGAACTACAGACGATTCACTCCAATGGCAACACTTGGCACTTTGTCAATGACTTGACGATACTACCGAGTAGCTGTAAGTGCTCCAAGCAACTCTGATCTAGGTATAGTTACTTTGGCAGGCGCTACTCTTGATTTACATAATACCAATTGTACTGAAGTTTTGCCCTCAAAATATGCATGTAAGAAACCGCATGCTGCATAAGATACCTTACTGGCATCACTAAAACAAAGTAGAGTGATAGAGCATTCATCAAAGGGTTCAATCACAAGTCTTCTTGAAATTTTATTATAATTCAAGAAGTGTAGTCTTTTGAGCCAAGCCTGAAATTCTTTTTCTATACCTTGTGGAAGATTTTCATCCCAGGAAAGTTTTATCTTCCAGGTTTTTTGCAGAATGAGTTTTGGAATTAACGTTGTTGGACGAGTAAATTCAATAGGGTCGAATATCCTCTGTGTAACTGACAGCACAGATCTTTTCGTGTAGGCAATCTTAGAAAATGTCAAAAGGGTTAAATTGCAATAAATTTCATCATTTTCAGTGTCCCATAAGAGTTCCAGAATTGGAATGATCTTCTGATATGAAGTCATGTTTTTCCTTTTGAATGGTGCAGCAGTCCACCCTCTAAGGTCAAAACCTCCTGAAAATATTAGAGTTTGGGACTGTTTATTGACTTGACTACATCCTGTTCGGTTTCGAAACTAGCTATACAATTGTTGACATAAAAGGATTTCTTCAATCTAAGTGCCATTCCTCTTAAATGTTGTGGAGCATTATCCGAATGATAGGAAAGCGTTGCTCCCAACAGGAATGGATTCGAAGAAATGCCGAACACGACACTGCAGTGTCTGTAGGTAACAATTTCGGTTTGATTTGAATCTTTCCATCACAGGAATTTCAAAAAGTCTGTCTCTAGCACACAAACTGATTTGTAAGAAAGCTTTCCTTATATTGACAGTTACACCAACTGCATGCTGATGAAATTGCATGAAAAGTTTTGGAAGCATTTGTATTAAATTCGGCCCTTTTTTGAGGCAAGCAAATGCTTAATGTTCATCTGTTGGCTGTATAAGTTTTATGGTTTGCTTCTTATGTAGTGTAAAAAAGTAATTTAGCTGATTATTCTGAAGTACAACATAAGCAATTATTTAAGATATTTATTCTGAAGTATAACATGAGCAATTATTTAAGATATTCAGATTTTGATTGCTTTTATTTTACAGTGTTAAATATTAAAATCCTTATTGCAGTTGGGCCAGATGATGATTAGTTAAAGCCACAAAATGCAGTAATTCACCTTGCAAGTTGAACACACTGGCTATATGAAATTTCTGTACTTTTCCTTGTATGTAACATAAGTATGTGCCAATTTTCTGTAGATGTCCTCCAAAAAGCATCTTTTTCCATAAGACAGATAACTACATTGTTTTGTTAGTATCAAATAATCCAGTTTATTTCTTTATTCTTTATACACATCTGTATGAGTTATTTGAAACTGATAACTTGTATATTTTGAGTTCTGGTGTTAATAGCAACTGAACCTAAAAATGCATTTTTTACGCAGTAGTTTCACTATGCCTTGCATAATTTTCCTTCACACTTCTCCTCTTCCCCCCCTTTTTTAACTTCTCTTCAGTTGACCTTGTACAGAAGGTAAGTTTGTTTGCCTGCATTTTCATCTTGACGGTAATATTTTTTCTTCAATTAGATTGTTTAAACACAGTTTATTAGTAATTGTTCTCCTGGTGGTAAAATACTGTTCATTAAATACAGTTAATTAATTAGTAAGAGTAAATAATGCGTTATATATTGAATATCTAATGTAATTAGTGACTGAAATTGCTAAAACTTCCAAGTGTCACAGTATTTGTGTAATGCATTATATTTTTATGCAAAATATTCCTGTCTGTCTTAAATTTGTTTTACCAATTTTATCTGTATTTTGTGGCTTTTAACATCGTCTTTCATATTCTACTATCTGACAAGACCAAGAATTCCAATTAATTATGACTGTAATTCCAGGCTCTAATTTCAGTAAGGCTTATCAGTGATTGAATAAATAAGACCATTGAAAACTGATATCTCTGAGGTTATGTTCTCTTATCCTAACGACAAGGTGGTTGTGTGGGATTTTTGTGATTTTTCCTCACATACAGTCAAAAGTCGTTAATCCAGACTCGTCGGGACATCGGCGATTCCGGATTATCAATTTTTCCAGATTATAGATCATCAGTTTAAATCTGGTAAGATGGCATGCAGAAATTATAAAATTAAAAATATGAAACCATAATTTATGAAATAAAGAACAATTATGATCTAAAGAGTATTAAAATTTACAAAAAAAAAAAAAGCTTAATATTTATTTGTTTATTTTATTAAACATTTCTTTCAATGTAAGTTGTTAAGTTGCTTCGTTTTATGTGATAATACTTTCTTTTTAATTCTATAAACAGACATAATTTCTTGTTCAGTCACAAAGTTCCACTGTTCAAGTCCTATAATTGCTGTATCGAGAATACCGACTAATTTGTCAATCGAAATTTTTTCGTTTTCAATAACCTCTGGGTCACTTTCTTCACTATTGGAAGCGAATTATAATGACGAGGAGTTTGATTTAAATCATATCAAAGACGGAGTACAGCGAGATGAAATACTACATTTAGTAAGGAAATATAAGCCAAATAAAATAAAAACATCTGCCGTGAAGATAAGGATAGTACTGACAGATCAACTTCGAATTCGTTGTGTGCCACGGCGTTTCAACCCATCCCACCGCAGAGTCTCGCGCAGCAATTTTTTCCCCCTTTCCCGCAGAGCAGCGTGAAATTGATAAACAGATATTGGAATGGTTAGAGAAACAAAGGATATGCCTTTATCTATTTTTTGCAGCAATTCCACTTTTTGTGTGATGGACATCGAAACATGCTTTCTTTTTGTAGATCCTTTGGGAGCTCCAGCATCGGAAATTCTATTTGATGTAATCGAAAGTTCAAGCTTACTTTTATAAAATTGCTCTAACAGTCTGCAAAAAATAATAAGCCGGATCCAATTCGAAGATTAAAGAACAGCGCAATCTGCAACATTAACTGAAATAGATAATTACATAATTTTAGCTTATACCGTCCGTTTATACATTAAACTAGCATCCGTAAACGTATTATGCGCACACGTGAGACGCATGCGCAGAAAGTTTATAGCTTTGAGGTCCGGATTATGGGTGTCTGAATTAATGACTTTTGACTGTATAATGCCTAGAAGTTTTAATATATGCATAGGTAACTTTTGAGTAATCTAATTTAGCCTTATACAAAGTATTGAAGTTTATCATTAAATCCTAAATGTAAATATTATCAGCCAATATTGAGTTTAATTATATGTTTGCTTTTTTTCCTTCCTCAGGTACATCTGGCACTGGAAAATCTACTTTGTGTTCCGAAATTAGTGAACAGACGTCCCTGGAATGGATCAATGTTGGTGAACTGGCTAAAACAAATAATTTAACTGAAGAATATGATGAAAATTTTCAGTGTCATGTAATTGATGAAGATCAGGTAAATAGAAAAGACCATTGAGTTCACTGGTCATTCAACTACTTATTTTAGTTTTTCTTACAATAAAGAGACATATACAGTACAAAGTCCATAATCTGGACTCGTCGGGATTTCGGCGATTCTGGATTAGGGTTTTTTCCGGATTATAGATCGTCAATTTAAATCTGGTAAGATGGCATGCAGAAATTATACTATTAAAAATATGAAACCGTAATTTATGAAATAAAGAGCAATTATGATCTAAATGGTATCAAAATTTACAAAAAAAAAAAAAAGCTTAATATTTATTTGTTTACTTTAGTAAACATTTCTATCAATGTAAGATGTTTAATTTCCTTTGTTTTTTGTGCTAATACTTTCTCTTTAATTCTGTAAACAGACACAATTTCTTGTTCAGTTACAAAGTTCCACTGTTCAAGTCTTGTAATTGCTGTGTCGAGAATACGGATTAACTTGTCAGTCGAAATTTTTTCGTTTTCAATAACGTTCTGTGTTACTTTCTTCACTGTCGGAAGCGCACATGGGTAAACACTTTACTGGCTTTATGCGCATGCGTAAGTTTGTGGCTTTGAGGTCCGGATTATAGATCATTCCGGATTAGAGACTTTGTACTGTATATGTGTACTTATAAACGGTGATTCACTAGCGGAGTCACAAGCTTACAGGAGATGTAGGGGGTACAAAGATAGTTCAGAATCACGTAACATTGCAAGTTCAGAATCACGTAACATTGTAGAAATGCAGTAGAAAGCATTGAATGAGAGGTCGCGTGAACAGCGATCATATTGGAAGTCGGTATTTGCGAATCGTTCCGCGAGGCAGTAGGACAGATGAGTATTCAAACGTTGAACTGGCCGATATGTGCCTGACATACGAAGCTGCAGACAGTAACGGGTGCACCTCTACGCTTGTACCATGAATGTTTCCCTGCACAGTTTTCCCTTCCTCATTATATGATCTTCACATATCTGCACAGAAGGTTACGTGAGATAAGTTGTGTTTACCTTCCTGTATTCAAATGGCACCGAAATCAAAAGAGTAGTTTTGCTTTGAAATAACTAATAAATTCATTTACTCTCAGTTTATACATACCAAATCGTAAATATATAATAATAAAATAGCCACAGGTAAACATTTAGCAATAATTCATCGGTAACACAGATAAGTTTTAAAATACGAATCAGAACAGTTATAGATCAGCTACGTTTTTAGCGATTGAATTCTTCCGATAGCATGAATCCCAATGGTTGTTTCCAAGGCGTGTCAGGGCCAACGAAAAGGGCAACGAAATTAATTCGAGAGGCATGGAAGTAAACATACTCCCATCCTATCAGCTTCAGTCCTTATGCAAAGGTGAAAGTTTATTTGCAAGTTGGCTATTTTGAAGACTGCAACTGGTTGGTATTAGTTGGTTCTTAGTTTTGACTGTGGCTGTGTGAACTAATCTGTTTTTGCCAGGATGAACATCGGATGACATGTATTATAGGCTATGCTAAAGGTGGAGATCCATCTTCGATGACATTAATTACAGCGGCAATCTTCATATAAAGTTTGGCGTGCTACCACTTGGATTGCTGCTGAAGAGAAGTCAGATATTTGTTTTTCAACGATTTCAAAATGCACGTCGAAAGTCCTGAATAAGTTCCCACCTAGAACTCCGCTGTGCGAATAGAGCAGATGTGTATCTGGAATGGAAATTCCAAGTCAGAGTATCACTTGGAATAAAATGAGATGGAGTTAAAACATTAATAGAGCCAATATAAGAATCGTTCACTTTGATAAGTGGACGTGAATTCAAAAAAACCTCGATCTGGGTAAAGTAGCCTTGACAACTCTTCGTAGGTCAAAAGAGTTTCTTTCAGTATTCTTCTTAGATGAAATTTTGCTGAGCGAGTGCCAGCTTCCCAAATTCCTCAGAAGTTTGGTGAAGTAGGCAGTATAAAATGCCATTCAATAGATGACTGAGTTGTCGTGACACTGATTCTGTTGCATACAAAGACCATCTGATTTAGTTCTTGTAGTTTTCATCATGCTCCCACAAAATTGGTACCGTTGTCACTGTAAATATGCCATTGTGCATCGTGGCGCGAAAAGAAGTGTCTTAAGTGCAGTAATAAACGAGCCTGCCATTAGATCACTGACTGCTTCTATATGTACAGCTTTAGTCAACAAGCAAACAGAGTTATATAACCATTCGTTGTTTTAGAACATAACCCTTATTGAATTAAAGGCTAATTGGACCTGCATAATCCACACCGGATGCAAAAAAAGGTCATTCCAAAGTCGCACGATATTTAGGTAAGTCACCCATCAATTGTGGAATTGAAGCAGCTTTAAATTGATGGCATATTAAGCAGTGGTAAAATACGACTGTGAATTGGTCTCTTCCCTCCAATTATCCAGGAAGATTGCCTGATGAGGTGGGATAATAAAGGAGGACAAGCATGAAGGTAAGTAACATGAAGTTCTTTTACTGAATTTATGTTAAGAAGGAAGTATTACAGGATGTTTGACATCAAATGCTAAAGATTAATTTTGATGATGTCCTCCCACCTGTAAAAGACCATCTTTGTCTATGAACGGATAAAGAGAACATAGTTGGCTCTTATTGGGTAAGGTTCTCTTTCTCTTAATATAGTTCAAACCATTTTAGAAATAATGATTCTGAATCTGACAAATAATGATCTTTTCTGCTACTCGAATCTCTAGAAATGCTAGTGGCGTAACGCAGTTGGAATCGATATCGTTACACAAAATGTTCTGTGTAACGAGATGTTTCTTGCAATTAGTAATAAATCTTTGGCTGTAAGCTAGCATGCAAACAATCTTGCATTGAGAAGAATAATGCTCGGATGAATTTGTTAATAAATTTGAGGTTCAGTACCACGAGAAGCAATGTGTACAGGATTTTCTTTAGAAGAAACATTATTCCAATGTTTAATAGGTATCACAAGTATTCAAAATAGATTGAATTCATCTGGTCAGTAAATATATGGCACAAGGTTCTAATCGAGGAATGGATTCTTGCTCGATAGGTGCAACTTTAGTCTTTGATAGCAAAAGATTAACCTTAACCGTAATATTGCATTTTTGACGACAGTAGATGGCTGCTTCATAGGCCAGCAAAGATGCATCACAAAATGCATATAGTTGAATTACATTGTCCATTGTAAGTGTGACGCATCTCAGAATTTCACATTTATTGGACTGAACGTCTCTTGAAATTTAAACCAATCATCTGAGAGGTGCTGTGGAATAGTCCAGTCGCCTTTAACTAACCATAGCTTTTGAAAGAATATTTTAATCAATGTAGTGCAAGGAGACAGACCTAAAGGATCAAAAATGTGAGTAGATTCTGCCAGTATTGCATCTCTTTGTTATAGATTCATTGAATTCTAAAAAAGCCGTAAAACTTGAGAACTCGAATTAGGAGATATCTCGAAATTGGACTTCAGTTAACAAAGTTCCTTAAATTCAGTTAAGAATTCTACAGAATTGATGGCATATTAAGCAGTGGTAAATACAACTGTGAATTGGTCTCTTCCCTCCAATTATCCAGGAAGATTGCCTGATGAGGTGGCATAATAAAGGAGGACAAGCATGAAGGTAAGTAATATGAAGTTCTTTTACTGAATTTATGTTAAGAAGGAAGTATTACAGGATGTTTGACATCAAATGCTAAAGATGAATTTTGATGATGTTCTCCCACCTGTAAAAGACCATCTTTGTCTATGAACGGATAAAGAGAACATAGTTGGCTCTTATTGGGTAAAGTTCTCTTTCTCTTAATATAGTTCAAACCATTTTAGAAATAATGATTCTGAATCTGACAAATAATGATCTTTTCTGCTACTCCCTCAAATCAAAACTATGTGCATGTAAAATTAAAGATGCCTTCTTGCACACTGATACTGCATCACTAACTGTATTTGCATGTGACAATAAGTCATCTATATACATATCCCCTTGCAATATATGCTATATATCTAATTCCTCCATAGTATCTAAAGCTATCTGCTTCAGACATTGGGTTGCTAAAAATGAAATAGAGGAAAGACTATAGGTAACTGTTTTCAACTTGTACATGCGTATTTCATCACTAGAATTGTGTCGCCTTAGTATCAGTTAATAGTTCTGATCTTCGGGGGCTACCATTACCTGACAATACATGTTCTCCACGTCGCCCGTGAAAGCAATTTTAGTAAATCAAAAATTAATCAAAATCTAAAAAGTGCCAGTTTGTAATTTCGGACCTACTTCTGAAAGCGAATTCAGTGATATATCGTTTTCAGTTTTACAGGATGCATCAAAAACTACTCTCAATTTTGTCGTTATTCTAAAAGGCTTAACGATCGTGTGATGAGGAAGGTAGAACTTTTCTGCATCTGATCTGTTAGATAAATTATCATTATTCACAGTTATATGACCTAACTTTTCATATGCACACATAAAATCTTTATACTGTTTTCCAAATTCTCAATTATCTTGGAATTTTCGTTCCATAGGACAGAACCTAGAAACTGCTGCCAAATTAAATCACTCAACTTCAGATGCAATTTATAAAATGAAAATTTTACAACAAATCATCAATCTGAATTAAAAGAATTAAGTGTTTTGGAAATGTGATTCACAAAATTATTCCTCAGGTGTCAGAAATTCATTCTTCCTAGTGGGAACTATATCCTCCATTTCCCAGAAATGCCTATGTTTCTAATCGATATTTATATTATCTTCTAGTTTTATGAAGTGTGAATTTGCTGTTTTTGAGCTTTCCATGTTAGTTCTGACTTTTCTCTGATCACCGAATATTGTGTTTTCAGCTACTGGCTCATTTTTCAAACCATATATTTGACCACACCTCAGGAGAGGAAAAAATACTCAGCTAAAATCAAATCAGTTTCTTTGGGATGAGCAAAATTTGAATCCGCTAACTGAATAGGTTTTATATAACTGATATCCAAAATATATGTGTTAACATCAGTTATTTCGCTATTTAACCT